CGATCAGGCAGGCAGGCAAGTGGTTAGGGGTGATCAGGCAGGTGAGTGGTTAGGGGCCATCAATCAGTCAGAGGCAGTTACAAGCAATCAGGCAGACAGGCAGAGTGGTTAGTTAGAGGCTATCAGACAGGCAGGCAGAGGTGGTTAGGGGCTGATCAGGCAGGCAGGCAGGTGAGCGGTTGGGAGCCAGCAGCCCCGGATTATGAGAGAGATCAGGTCTAAACTGGCAGTCGAACATTCCCCAAGGGGTCCCAGATTGGAGAGGGTGCAGGCTGGGCTGAGGGACAGCCTCCCCCCCTCGCAGTGTATGAATTTTGTGCACCGGGCCTCTAGTTAGTTTATAAGCTTTATGCCATAACATTATTTTATTTCTGTGAATAAATAAATTAGCTCTCTTTCTTATACTGAATTCATAGTTATGTGAACCTACTATAAAATTGCTGTATACTTTTTTCCATTTACTTTTTTTAAATTGCCTTTCAGGTCATTTGATAGTTTTGCTTTATTATTATTATTTTGTTGTTGTTTTAAATACTTCTCCATCATTGAGGGCATTCAAAGACTTTTCCAGACATGCCCATTACCTTACATATGGTAGGTGTTTTATAGCTATGAATTACCACTAGTTTAGGAATCCCTATGTAAGCTGGGTACTGAGTCTTTGTATATTTGGCACCTGGTCTAATATCTGGCACACAATGTCTGTTGAGGAACTATTTGGTGAGTGAGTCATTTGGGTCTCATAGATGAGGTCATAATTATTTCTATCAAGGTTTCATGGAAAAGAACCTGGAGGGAGTAGAAGGCAAAAATGTAGAAGAGATGTACACAAAGCAAATCTTTTTTTTTAATTAAAAAAAAATCCTTTAAAAATTGTGGTAAGGCTTGCTTTCATGGGTTATAGAATAACACCAGGGAATTTATATCACTGGGTTAGATAGAAGAGCATTTTTAAAAATGTAATTATATCATACTTAAACCCTCTTCCACAAAGGATTTGAGATGGCCTGCAATAAGAACAGACAAAATTACAAATTTGAATAAAAAATTAAGGAACCAAGATCAAAGACAATGTAAAGACGATTAAAAGGCAGGACTGCTCTGGCCGGTTTTTCTCAGTGGTTAGAGCATCGGGCCCATGGACTGAAGGGTCGCGAGTTCTATTTCCAGTCAAGGGCACATACCTTGATGCAGGTTCCATCCCCAGACCCAGTCAGGACACATACAGGAGATAACCAATCAATGTGTCTGTCTCACAACAATGTTTCTCTCTTTCTCTTCCCCTCCTCCCTCCCTTACACTCTCTCTTAAAAAAATAAATGAAAAAGATATTCTTGGGTGAAAATTTTTTTAAAAGTCAGGACCATGTTCCTGTTTTCTATTGCTGTATAATGAATAACCTTAAAACTTACTAGATTTGAATCACTATTAATACTTCTCTTGTTTCTGGGAGTTGCCTGAACTTAGCTGTACATCTTCCACTGTATTCTGGTTGAGGCAGTCCCAAAGGTCAGCTGAAGTTCAAGGGGAGGGAACACAGGCCCCACCAATGGGAAGAGTGCAATATCACATAAGAAGAGCATATGGGATGAGATATATTGAGGCTGCTATCTTTGAAAGCTATAACCTGCTACATCATGGGAGAGAAAAGAGGACAAATATATGCATTAACTTCTTAGCTGAATTTTTAATTATTTTCTTAAGTTACATCTTAGTCCACCTCCCATAAGCACGTATTCTCCAATAACCTTTATGAACCTCTTTTTTTTTTTCTTCATTGGGTCAGCACAAGCCTTTTTTATCCCCCAAACAATAGGCATTAAATAGTTGAATTTGAACATCCCTGAACTGCTGTAGCTAGAGGAGCTATGTAATCATGTTAGAGTCATGGTGTCCACATTTCAGGCTAAAAGGGAAGTGGGAGAGGAATGTAATTAGAGCCTGAACTTTATCAGAAATTACTCATCCCCTCCCAAAAGGAATATGACGTCTTTCCCATCACCACAGGACAACAAAGAACACAAAAACTACAGCTCAGAAACCATATGTACAGGGTGTGGCAAAAGTAGGTTTATAGTTGTGAGTATGGGAAAGTTTATGGTTGTATTATTATTTATTGTATTATTTTCCATATGAACAACTATAAACCTACTTTTGCCCCACCATGTATGTTTATGTGTGTATATGTATTTATTTATTTTCCGTGGCAGCAAGAGATTGGTAACCACCCAAATTCTAGATGATACACAAAATAAATGGGTAGTGGCAGTGATTTGGGTGGGAAACATGCATAGAGAAGAGGCGGGAGGGTGAATTCTCAGTGTATACTTTATACCATTTTTATTTTTAAACCCTTTGAATACAATCCAAAAATGAAATAAAATTTAAAACCTGGATTAAGAGCAAGCACATAGAGCATACTCTCCAAATAGTAATAAAGTAATAGGGATTCTGCTATAAAGAAATGCAAGATCAGCATGGAAGAAAAACTACATGAGCAGCATAGGGACAAATCAATAGAACTTTGAAAAGGTATATCACCTAAAGAGGAGTATTCTCTTATCTATACCTGGGTTGAAGTTTTCTCACTAGTTCTGGGAACATCCCTTTGAGGCTACTGTGAGCTAATGAAAAGTGCCAGCAAGCAGTGTGTTATTCATTTCCTCGGGGAATTTCCACAGCCCTAGGTCTGTTCCTCTTATGCAGACTGACCATCAGCTTTTGTCAGCACACTGGGAATGGATCTGTCTCAGGGGCTGACTCAAACCACACGTGTGAGTGTGATCAATTTATTTACAATGAAAACTGTCCTGAGAACTAGAATATTCCAACTCCATCTGACCAGTCTTTCCGTTATGGATGGACTGATATGGGAAGTCAAAGTAATAATCAAGTGGTTACTCAGCAGGCATGGAATCAGAAGAGAAATCCGTTTAACTTCATGATCCTTCCCCCAATCTGTTCGTGTGCTCAGTCCTGATCCTCTTCTCCACGTACACTTGCTTCCTGAGGGATTCTGTCCATGCCCTGGCTACCACTACCTGCTGATAATTCCAAATTGTTTCGCTCCAGCCAGTGTTTTTGCCGAACTCCCAATTCGTTTATCCAACTACCAATCCAGTCCCCACTGGGATGCTCACCATCCATGTGTCCAAAACAATTGCTATTTCCCATCCCCTAAACCTTGTCCTTCCCCTGCTGTTCCATCTCACTTAATGGCAACACCAATCTCCCACTTGCTCAGGACAAAAACCTAAAAGATAACTTGACTCCTCTCTTTCCTTCACATCCCACAACCAATCCACCTGTCAGCAAATCCTGCTGGCTCCACATACAAAGTAGACTTCAAATCCGCCTG